GAGGGGAAACTTTGTTAGAAAGAGGGGGCAGCCGCCGTGTCTGGTGCACGTCCCTCAGCAGTGAGGCAGCAGCAGCAGCAGACAGGGGGTGGCGTGGGGCCGGGGGGGAAGCCAGTGTCTTGGAATAGCCTCGCCAGGCAGGGTCCTGTCTGACTGCCGGTGGGGCGGGCTGGCGGGGCTATATTTGGCAGCCAGGCCAAACGGCCAGGGGAGCTCCACCTTGTCATTATTCGCGTCTCGCCTGCCCGGTCACCGTCCTGCGGAAGGTCAGCCTGTGGCGGCTGCCAGAAGCCCTCATGCTGTGGGCCTGCTGTGGTTATGAGCCATGCTCGGAGGAATGCCCGCGGCCAGAGCAGCCAGGCAGCTCTGGGAAGGAGCCGCACTCACGCCCACTGGCCGGGCGGGCGCGGAAGCGGCGAGGTCCCCTGCAGCAGAGCGCTCCGTTTCCAGAATGCCGAGTGGCCTAAAAAGCACACTCTGCACTTGCTCAGGAGGGCTGGGTGCTCCACCTGTCTCCGTCGTGCTATTTGACCCGGAGAGCCTGTTTGCTAATCTTAGCTGAGCAAGAGGAGGGAGCTGCACATGCTCAGAATCGCTCTGCCTTTCAGACTGCTCCCGGGCTCCTGGGACGGGAAGCAGGCTCCAGGGCTGCGGTATTGACTCATTACCCTCCCAAGGACTAAAGGCAGCTGATATTATCTCTGTAGGGAAACAGGGAAAAGGGCAAAGGGACAAAACAGGCTGTTGCACTTCGGACACATCACAAGGGGGCAAGACTCTCTGGAGACGGCAACCGTGCAGGGGAACGTTGAAGGCCGAAGGAGAGGAAGGCCGCCCGGGGCATGGATCAGGTCCCTAAAGGAGGCCGCAGTCTTGCGTCCACAAAAGCTGAGCAGGGCTGCTGAGGGCAGGCTCTCCAGGGCTCCTTTTCAGAGGGTCGCCCCAGGTCGGGTTGGGTCGGGTCGGGTCGGGGATGACGTGACGGCTGCAGCAACAGGGCCTGCAGGTTCAGCAAGTCCCAGCCGCACAGTGCACACGAGCTGCAAGGAAGCCAGCACGGGGCTGAGCCCCCCCCCCCCGTGAACGCCATTCCACACGCAGAAGCCCCCCAAAGGTCCTCTCTTAGGCCTCCGAGACCGGAAAGGCGCCAGGCGCTCGGAGTGTCCCTCCCAACGCACACAGGCCACAAGCGGCAGCGGAGGGGCAGGAGGGCAAATCCGATGCACCCACCCCCGGAGGGAGCCCCCCCTGCCCCCGGGCGCTCGGCTCAGTGTGCTGCCTTGGGTTGCCGGGAGCCAGCGATGCTGGACGGACTTGGGGCACTTCGCAGCTGCCACCACTCTGGCCTCACGGCGGAGGAAGGAGGCGCCGCCAGAAGCGCGGAGGCTTGCGTGCGCCCAGTCCAAACCCGGCGGAGCAGGCCCTCAATCCCGGGCTGCGTGCGGCTGTGGCAGCCGTCGACCTCGCCTGCCCCCGCCTGCCCCACTCCGCTGGGACCGGCCGGCCGTGCAGCTGCCGACTTCCCGCTTTCCACCCGCTGAGTACACAAGGGCTGCCACAGCCGCCCCGGAACCTGACGACAAAGGGCATATTTGCATACATGTATAAATAACACAATCTGAAACCCGGTGACCTCCAGGAGTCATGAGGTGAGAGGGACTGGCCCTTGAGCTGGCTTCCAGTCCCCCCTCGGCCGTGACCTGTCCTGGGTGACCGCGGGCCGGCCACCGACGCTCGGCCTGGCCTGCCTCGCAGACGGGTTGCGCAGCTAACGTGGAGAGGAGGAGGACCATGCGCCCCACTTCAAGCTCCAAGCGGCGGAAGGTGGGATGGGAATCGGAAAGCGAAGGAGCACCAAGCAATCACGGCTCCAACGGCGTGGGATTCGTGCCGGCGACCCTCCTGCCTCCGCCACAGGCTACCCGCGAGCACACGCACCTGGCCAAAGGCACGCGGGGTCCATCGCTCTCAAGCACCTCTGGCAGACAGGGCATCTTCCTCTGCCGGCCCCGCGCGTCCGGCAGACGGGTCCCTGCGGGCCTGGGCCTGGGCCTGGCCCTCCCCGTGCAGAGCAGGGGCGTCACCCCGGCCCCTCCCCTTCCGCGACCATCCCCAGCCATCACTAGGGGCACATGGGGCGGTGCCAGGGGGAAGCCGCCAGCGGCGATGGGCGCTTCCACCAGCAGGCTTGCCAAGCGCACCGCGCACGATAGACCAGGACAAAGCAGAACCAGACGACCCAGTTCACGCTCCAAAGGGCCCAGGGTGGCCAGGAGCCGTGTGCCCCGAACACGAGGCAGCCTCTCCAAGCCCAGACGCTGCCGCACATCTGGAGCTGATCAGAAAGCCCTGGCGGAGGGAGAACCCTGCCGCCTCCGCGGGGATCGCGGGGACGAGGCAGGCAGACGGAGTCCTCCTGCCCGTGCCAGTTGCATGAGCTTCCCCGTGGCCTCCGCATCAGCTACTGGCTGGGTGGAGACACACAAAGCCATGAAAGTGGGAGGGGTGGATTAACCTTACCTGAAAACACCTGCTGGATGTTTCCCACGAGCCAGGGAGGGGCTCCACACAGGCAGGTAATGCCTTGGCGCCTTCTTATATGATCAAGATATATGGTCCATATATGCCCGCCCCTTGAGATCTGCGGGAGCGGCCTTTCTCCGGGAACCCTCTGTGAAGGAAATTAGGAGGGTGAGTACTCGGAGGGCTTTCTCTGCAGTGGTGCCCAATCTATGGAATGCGCTCCCCAGAGAGGTCCACCTGGTGCCGTCGTTATTTGTTTTTCGGTGCCAGGCAAAGACCTTTTTATTCAAACGTCATTTTAATTGTTAATAGTATTTATTTATTTTATTCTTTGGCCAGGGCAACTTATACTGTTAATTTATATTATTTATGGAGTTTTATGATGGTTGTAAGCTGCCCTGAGGCTTCAGCGAATGAGGCGGCATATAAATATCCTAAATAAATAAATAATAAAAGGAGCTTGTTCCCTTAGCGGGGCTGCATCCCTCTTCATTAGGAACCGGGCTGCTCTCCTGACCAACCTTAATGTTTTCCAGTTTTCTGAGCAGGGGGTGCCCAATGCTAGAGCACCTAACCCTCGTCGGGGGGAGGTTGCATCTGACAGCTGCATGTTCCTGGATGCTGAATATATGAGAGAAAAGTACCAGGTTTAGGCCCTTTGAGTAGGAAACTCTCTAAGCTAAAATGGATGGGGCTTGGTTGCAATTAGCTACCTCAGTGAGATGTAAAATCTGTGTATGCTCAGAGGGATTTTATCAGCTGTGGAGGATGCAGACATGAAGCACATTCTGCAAGCAGCTTCCTGTGTTCTGCATTAATATCTCATTTTAAAAGAGACATATTTTTCACTGTCACTTTACACATTCCACGACTGAGCCCAAGCACTGAAAAAGATGTACTGGCTCGGATGAAACTCTGATATTTTTGCCAGTGGCTCTTGCCAGGACTCCAAATGGTGATGAATTTGGTCCCAAGGCTGTGTGATGCAAACAAGTCATGCAGAAACTGAGACTGGTGTGATAACACGCATGTTTCCGAGCTACACGGCACAGGCAGTCAGCTGGCTGGCCACCGAGTGAACAGGGTCAGACCGGAGGGCCCCCGGCCTGACCCAGCAGCGCTCTTCTGATACCCTCTTCTGATCACGTAACAAGTAGGATAACTCCTGCCTTCCTCAAAGTTCTTCCACCAGTTTTAAACTTCTCATCCCTTCCCAAATGCTCAGCTGCTCAGCGGGTGCAACGGAGCCAGAATCCAAGTTCGCCTTTTTCTCTCACTCAGCATCTCACTGCACCCTGGCAGGTGGGGCAGGGGCCGTCAGGGGGCCGTACGTGGGGCAGGAAAAGTTGTCCGCCACAGTGGGACTGGGTCCTGGCATGCACAGAGCCATCCAAGCACTCCAGGGGCGCAAGGTGGAAGAAGCTTTATTCTGCAGAAAAAGATCTCCATGCACAAAGCAGGCGAAGGGGAGCCCTGAGGAGAACCAGCTTCCCCTTTATCGCACATCACAGGAATCTAAACAGGGGCTGGCATGGCCTTGCCTTCCAGGGCCACAGAATCGCCTCCTTCCTGGCCCATGTATGGGCACAACCAGGGGAAACTCGGGTCTGTCCTTCAACTCCCCTTCTGGAGCGTCGGGACTGTCAGCCCAAAGAGCTCCATTTCACTGAGCTCTGTTACACTTTCGTATTGACTGCAGCAGCAGCAGGGCCCCAGAGAACAGCGAGCCAACAGCCACCGACGTGATAAAAGGGCTCCTGAGCACAGCCTGAACCCCGGCACTGAGCGACAGCCCCCTCCCTCGGGGGGGGGGGGATGGACCCGCCGCCCGGGGCCGGGGGCGCTTTGGGGGGGGGGGGCAGGTGAGGCAGCCCCGTCCCAGCCCAGAAGGCGCATCCCGCTTCCCAGGACCCCGACCGCCGGAGGGGGCGTGAGTCCCACCGGGAGGGCTCTGTGCCGGGGACGCAACTTCTCTGCCCGCCTCCCCAGCCGTTCCGGCAGCGGCAACCGGCTCACGGAGCCTCACGGGCCGGTCAGCCTTCGCGCTGCGCAGCCGGGCGCGCGAGGAGCGCATCTTCTCGGCCGGCAGAGATTTCAAGCCATTTCTAGAATGGTAGTAAAAGTTTCTATTAATACCTCGACAAAAGCCGCCGCCGCCGCCGCCGCTCGGCTGTGAGAAAGGGATTCCCTCTGACGTCATTGCTAGGATACCAAACAAAAACAGCAAAGACAAGACCATATATGGCTAACTGCGTCACAGGAACTCCATGGGGCGGAGCGAGGAATCCCCTGACTTTTCGGTTAAAAAAGACCCCCTTGCCGGGGTTTCTCGGTCACTCTTTTCCGGCGGCGAAGGCGCCGCGGTGCGAGGCAGCCGCTCGCCGAGTTTGAGGCGCGGAGAGGGCCCGAGCGAGCCTTTTGGGGGGACCGGTGACGTCAAAAGAGGGCGGGACAGCCTCCTGCATAAATAAGCCGAACTGTCGTGCGGCTTCATTCATAAGGTTTGGGCCCGCGAAGAAAGAAAGACTGCGAAGCGGGCGGCGGAGCACGAGCGAGCCGGGCACCGAGCGCAGGAGGAGGGCGCGCTACTTCTTCACCCGCGGCGGCGGCGGCGGCAGCGGTTCTGCTCGGGGCGAGACGCGGATTGCTGGATTTGGGACTCTTGGACGCCGGCGGCGCATTTGCAGGGGCTTCGGGCTTGCATCACCGGGGGAACTTCTGCCTGCCGCTTTCTCGCCACTGCAACATGAGCCTTTGAAAGGGCCCCTCCAGGAGAGCGCGAGCCGCTCGGCCGCCGTCTCCCCCCAGGCACCGGCAGCCGGCGGGGGAGGAAGAGAGGGACGCGCGGCGCCCGGAGGCGGCTTGCTTGCTTCGGAGCCGACAGGCGCGCTCGGGCGGCGGGGACATCTCGGCCGGCGCGCTCCGCCTGCCCCTCACCTTGGCTTCCAGGCGCCCCCCGCGCGGCCGCGGCCTTCCCCCTGCGCCCCCGAGGGAGATGTATCAGGGCTTCCCCGGAGACTTCGACTCCACCTCCCGGTGCAGCTCGTCCCCTTCGGCCGAGTCCCAGTACCTCTCCTCGGTGGATTCTTTCGGGAGCCCCACGGCCGCCGCTGCCGCCTCCTCACAGGTAAGAGTCGCGGAGAAGACCGGGCAGAGCCGCCGCCGCCGCCGCCTGCAGCTCGCGCTTGCACGGGGCGCTCGCTTGCACGGGGCGCGCTCGGGCCTCCGCTCCGCTCCGCGGGAGCGGGGCTGGGGGAGGC